AAATGATTGGGCCAAATGTCAGATTTCATTGTTTATTGAATGAACAAAAGAGACCAACCTGTCTTCTGCATAAAAATATCAAATTTGGCTGAATAGTAAAAGGTAAAAAAAAAATCTCCACATGTCTAATAAAGTCTAATTGTGGTTGAAAGGTGATTGTGACATCAAAGCCATGTAAATAAAGATTTAAGGGTTAAAACAGCTTTTGCATTTTTAATTTACAGTTAGTTTAAGAGGATTAATAACTGTATGGGCCAGCTGTCCTTAAACAGTCCCAGGTTTTGGACCTTGCTACATTTGAACTTACGTTCGACTGAGTTAGTCGGAGGTGTTTTTGTCACTAAGCTGCAAAGGATGTTAATTTCTATTTTGATATACTTTAAAAGGGAAGTAGATTTCCCTTAGCAACCCTTTTCAAACGATTGTAGCTGTTCAGCCTTTTTTCTTTTCAATGACACAATCATAAACATCATGTTGGTGCAGTTAGCAGCTGATCTGACCTGCTGCATGACCAAAGTTTGAGCAGAATATCACAAACACATGGTGCAAATAACTAAGGAAAGTTCTCCAAGTCCTGAAATGGTAAAGCAGCCTTAGACTATCTCACTACCAGCATGCTTAAGCATAGTTACGTTTTTTTTTCTTTTCTTTTTGTTAACGGTGTATTGGTTTTACTTCAGATGTAATGACGTACTCTGCTGCAGAGATCTGTTTTGTTAAACATGAAATAAGCTTTTTTTTTCTTTTTGCCCTTTATGCTCACCTTAAGATGCCATCTTTAAAGGCCAATTAAGTCACTTTCTTATTGTCTAACCCTGAGCTCTAACCTTAACTGATGCAAGAATGGCCTGCAGTGTTTTACATGCTCCTCTGGATATTTCTGTGACTTTCTAGAGGGGATGGCAACATAATTTACATAATTCTGAAGTGATTTTGGCAGAGCGACTCCTCCTGGGAAGGTTTGTCACTATTTTATGTGTTGTCCTTTTGAAGAAGATGGTTCACCAAAACCTAAAAATGTCTTTACGGTATAATCTTTTTCAGACTGACTTAGAAGAAAAAAATGAATAAATAATGAAATAAATACTTTTTTTGATTTGAATTCTTTTAAATATAAATATGTCGGTATAAACGATGGACTACCTTTGTCATAAAGAAAAAAGGCATTAGGTCCTGTGTGTATCTAGTAGCTAAACAGGCAGAATAACACAGAATGCCTGCTTTTTCTCATTGTCAAGAAAACAGAAAAATGACAAAATTTTGGCTCTTTAATCAAACTCTTATAAGCTGGTTTTGTTACTATCGTTATATCTGCCTTTAGTTGTACCAGTTAAGACAAAGGGGGTGATCCAATCAATTAACCATGAGTTTAGATATAATGTAACCAAAGAGGGAAAATAAAATTTCATTTATGATAAAATTATTTATAACATTATTTTTTTTATCTATTAGTTTGATTCTATTTCATCCAATAATGTTTTGATTTAAAAAAATGTCTCTCTTTGTTCTCCACGGGTTTTGCAGCAAATTAGAGGACAGCATTTTAGTTTCCACAGTGAAGCAAACACTGCACTGCTTTGCATGACAGTGTGGTGGGAAACGTCGCAGGGAAAACGAGTCTCCCAGGAGGTGGAAGAGTAAAAGTGAGGCCAGTGCGGTTGAGGATTCAGCGTGTGAAGGGAACAAATAAATGAAAAGTAGAGGGGCGCCTAGGTCAGGACCTGGTGCCAAGGAGAACAGCCATTTCCTGTCGACCTCCCACTGAACTCTGGCCCCTGAACTCCTCTCCTGTCCACCCTGCTCCAGGCTGAATGGGGGTGGGGAGGCGAGGGTGTGGCGCTCTGGGTTTGTTGTGTGCTCAGTGCCCAGAGGATGGATGTGGGGTTTATCAGTGATGATGGACGAAGGAAACTGGAATGGAAGAAAGAGGATACTGTGCCTATCATGGACTGTCAAAGGAAGGAAGTGTTATAAACTAAAAATTCAGAGCTTGGTTTAGGATTGGGAATAATGATCTGAGAGGTGCTCGGTGCTTTAAAGCCTTTGGAGAGATTCTGTCTCTTTGCTGTGAAGATCCAGCCTGTGTGACAGATCGCTGCAGCTGCAGCCTGAGGCCTCCACCAGAGATAAAACAGATAGTTATAGAGCAGGGAGGGACATGACTTATGACTGCAGAAAAGGAGGAAGATCAGACTATTTTTCAGGGAAAGATCCGTTTGAAGTGAATAGCTGAGATGTTTATCATGAATGTTTTAATATCTCCAGGGTGAAAAGTAAAAAACGAAATGTTAAAAAAACCAAGTCGTGTGGAGCGCTGTGAATCCAAGCAACACAAACATGAAGTATGTTTCAAATTTTCAGTGATTAGTGCCATAAAGTGTTTCTCTTAATGTTCTATAAATCTTAACATAGATGTCTCAATGAAATCTGCCCTATAGTTGCCTCATGGTCCTTTTTCTGCACCTCTTTTATAAACTTTACATTGCAGACACAAAAAAAATATTATCACCATTTCAATTCTTTAGTCCTGTGAACCTTTGACATCTTTATCTATATAAATTGAATTTGATTATCATGCAAACCATTATATTTTACACTAACTAAATTTTCTAAGTAAAACATGCAGATTGCATCTAACAGACTGATGTTTTGAGCCTTTATTTATGTCAATCGGGATGATTTTTCTCTTACAGCTGATGACAGACAGATACTGAAGATTACATTAAATTAGACTAAAAAGATAAATATTTTAGCTTGGTTATAATCTGCATAATGGTTTTTTAATTTAAAAACTGCATAAAAGAGGCATATATTCTAATATTTGTGTTCTGGTTATTCAGTTTCTTTGTGCATTTGTTTCTGTTAGGTCTCTATTAGATAATTACTTCAGGGTTTTCTCATCCATGCAGCTTCTCTGATGCTTATCACCCCTGCCTCAGCTATCATGTAAATAGCTTCATTCAGCCAACCTCTGCCATAACAGTCAGTATCACTATATCACCTGTGAGACGCATTACATCTATACTCATCAGTTATCTTTGCTTCTTGCTGGTTTACACCGTTTAGCCCGGATCTGTTTGTTGTCACATTTTTCTGACACACAGCTGCTTTTTGCTTTTCATTGTTATTAAATTCTCACTGTGCTGTTTCTCCCTGTGGGTTTGCATTTGAGTACAACAAACCACATTATCTGATAATTTCGGATGTGCAAAGCTCACACAGACTTACGCCACATACCACGGATCAAAGCACAAATTCTTTGTCTTCCGCTTCTCAATCATGCACTGCATGGTCCACAGTGCTTTTTGAATAAAATAAACCGTAAAACGGTGCAAAGAGTATTTAAATGCTTTACACTGTAAGGCTGGAGGTTATTCCTTCACTTATATTTGTGTGTTTATTCTGACAAAAAAAGTTTTAATTAAGTGTCATCAAAACCAAAAAGCATTTTTCCGTTGTACGTTTGAGTCTGTGTGGATGTTTGCCTCCAGTGTTTGTTCTAGCAGTTGTAGCTTTTCTGCTTTAACATTTAACTTTTGCGTTTAGAGATGGTAGCTTTCCTGTTTCCTCAAGCAATCAGTCTGCTTGTTCCCCCTCTGAAATCACCAAGGCCTTTCTGTCTACACAGGTGCCTCTCAATGGATGCTTGCTCTCATATTGTTGTGAGAATCTTATGATCAGCAATTCCTGAAATACCCCAACCAGCCCGTCTAGCAGCAACCAATGCGTTAGGTTACACATTACTTTCAGCATGTCTCCTTTCTTCTAAATTCTGATGCTCAGCCTTACATGTCTAACATTAACATTTAATTACATCTAATAAGTGGACATTAAATATAAAATGGTTTTTTGGTGATACCCAGTCTGTCCAATCGAATGGGTAATGAATTGTACGTATTCTAGCAACGGGAATACTTTGTTTTTTTTGTTTAATTACACTATAGAAGGAACAAAAATATGAAAGAGGCTTTAGTTAAGACATTTAAATATATATATATATTAGTGTATTTCTAGATTTTTTTATGTAAAGTAGAATTGGACTCGAGAGAACTTAGGTGCTCCTCTGAATGTTAGAATGTCTGCAGCAGGAGTCATTTTTTTAAGTCCAGCCAAATAAAACTCGTTAAGAGCCATTAATGTTAACTGATGCTTTGAAACAAGAAAACCTAGTTCTTTATAAATATGTACAGCAAAAAAAATTGTAATTTCCTGTTGTCACTTATATGCAATATTCTTCTCTCTCACAATGCAATAACACATGCCAACTACTGTGTAGCCTGTGTAATTTTTTTACTTATTTATACGGTCAGTACAGTTCTGCAGTCCAAGTGTAATAACCCAAGACAAATACTATGTAGTCTTCCCTTAGCTCTCTACTGTGCAGATATTTTATATCTAAACATATTCCAGGACATCATTTTTTATGCTTTTTAGTTCTACATACACTATTATTATATTGTCTGTCACTTTTTTTTATCTTTAATGGCATCTTGCTTTAACTCTTTGTACGCTATATAAGCTAGTGGAACCATAATTTCAGTGAAGGAGTAACATGAAGGGATAAATAAGTTGAGTCTAAGTCTAAGTCTCTCTGTCTATTTCTTATGTAATTTCCAGTTTTTATGTTTTAAACTAAAGAAAAATGAAACCTCTCTAAAGATAAATAAATTGTTGTATTTGGTAAAATATTGTGATACTCCAAGTATCATTATACTGCTTAAATTTAATGCAATGATTCAATTATCAAATTTCAAACATGTATTTTAAATATATCTTTTTTTAAAAACCATTAGAAGCACAGGATGCAGACTTCCTGCCTACAGCGTCACTGAGAGGGAAAAAATATTAACAGGTTGTTGATGCTGAGACCCAGCAGATCTAAATTTGATATTATAAAAAAAAAAACATGTAAAAGTTAATACTTTCAACATAAAAACTGCAGGTGGAGTCAACATTAAACAATGAGATGACAAGTGACAAGGCTTACAAAAAACATTTTAATACTTTAAGTTGTTTTTTTGTTTTTTTTTTCACCATCGTCATCATTCAGAAATTCATCAACGGTCCAAGCAGAGCGGAGAAGGAGCCGAATGTCTGAAGAGTCCTTTGGCTGCAGCTCCCGTCTCACACAGCTGTGACAGTTAACGGTGCACCATTGATGCTCAGAATTCCTTCTGCATATGGATGTGTTAGTGTGCGTGTGGCGTGTCTGTTCTTTCATCTATCAGTGGGTTTCGGGTGCTTGGAAGAAAGCTAAGGTAACAGGCGGCTGCATGGCGCCTTAAGGAGGTCAGTGGTGCGAGAGCGAGGCAGACTGGAAGTCATTCAGAGTGTTTAGCTTCATGCCGAGGAAGAGCACTAACATTTTCGACAAACTCACGTGAAGCTGCATCTGCCTGGAGTGGCACACATAAATATAAAAATATAAAAAAAAATAACACACAAAAAAAATCTTAAATTAAGTGTGTGTGTTTGTTTCTGACAGTCAGTGTGTGCAGGAAGACGGGGGAGCTGTGAGGAAAATGAGGAAAATGCATGAACATGTCCCATTCAGTAACATCCGTGGGTTGATCCTGTCATCCTGTGGTCCGCAGTCATGATGGGAAGTGTAGTTTAAAGCATGTCTCACCCACAGGACACAGTGGAGACTTTTGAAGAGGAGGAAGCACTTCTACTCAGAGAGGTATGGCTTAAACCTGTGGGTCCAGACTCAGGGTGTGTGGGTCGGATGTTTAGGTTTGCGTGTGTGTGTGCGTCTCTGTCAGTCGATCGGCTACATTAAGGTCAGTGTCTCTCAGTGAGGAATGTAAACTTTTGGAGCAGTTTGTCTTTGAATAGGGTATCAGCCATTGCACACCCATACTTGCTCTGCACACATTTATACAGTAATATATCCTCCATTCTTTCACACACACACACAGGCTATGCTCCCCTGACAGCTAGTGCGCATGTATGTCCAGTCCTTGGGCAATGAGCGGCTCTGCGGGGTGTGCATGCGGCGGTGGGTGGAGCAGCATGGCGGGGTGAGGGTGCGGGCCAGGGTATGAGTGGAGGGAGGCCCCGGGGTGAGGAGGGTAGCCCGGCTGAGACAGCAGAGCGCCGGGGTAGTCACCCTGAAGAGAGGACATTCCAGGTAGACCTGGGGGAAAGGGAAAAAATTAATTTGATGTAAAACCTGGACTGTTTACATCATATATAATAGAACTACCTGATGATCCTCAAAACGGCTAATTTAAACATTTTATGTGCGCAAAAATTTAAAACACTATTTGCACCGAAAAGCTGAATTCATTTTTATCTTAAAGCTACAGTGTGTAATTTTTAGCGACATCTAACGTCCAGACTGCAGACCGCAGCAACATGAACATCTCCCCGCCACCGCTTCTCCCCCCCAACAGTACGGCGAGCGTTACGGGACAAAATGTCTTCCACGACGTCCGCATCACCTA